TTACTACTAATTCAATAAAAGCAACATGTAATAGCCCAGTAATTCAGAATATAAATATAAAATTACAGATTAATGACAATTATGCAAAAAACATTATAATGATTTAGTCATGGTACCTGGAATTGATAATCAATTGCAAAAAAGGATATTAGGTATATATATTTCTAAAATTTATAATTTTATTTAATAAAATTGATCTAATTTATTATTTATACACCTACTAAAAAGCCTTTGCAGAGAATAAGCAAGTATTTCATGACCTCACAAACATTCACAGTCTTCCACTTCATAATATAGTTCAACTTTAATTTAATTTGATTCGAAAAAATAATTAATAAATTAATAATTAATTAATAAATAACAAAATTTTGGCTAATTTTTATTGGATTATCAATTATGTGAAACAAAAATATTGATCAACCAATCACAAGATTTTTAACTACGCTTAATCCCCTGGGTATAAGTCTTGGGGGAGCTTACATGACCCATGGAGTAATGGTTTTATGCCCTGTCTGAGTTTAAACATTGGATGTTATTTGTGAGAAATAAGGACAGCTCATTACATAATTTCGGAATAGTAGTTTTTAAACCAGTCAGGGTATAAAAAAGTTTATAAAATATGCTATTGATTTTTGTGTATAATTAATATAAACAATGATGATGATGTTGATGTTCATCAATATTAGGAAAACCATCTCTGCAACTAGAGTTGGATCAGTCCAGTTCAGTCTGGTCTTAATCCCAAAAGACTGGTCTTTTTTGGGGGATAATGGGACTGGTTCTTAATGTGGTCCTTGAACCAGTCAAAAAGACCAGTCCTGGACTAAGATTTCTGGCCGAAACTGCTTCTATTAGTAGCCGAAATTGCCCAAATACTTTGGGCGAAAATTATTTTTTTATAAACCCAAACTACTTTTTGTTATTAGCAAAAATTGGGCGAAATTATTTAAAGTTGTTTAAGTTAAAACAAGTTGATTCGTATAGTTTTAATGTTCATGCTTATAAAAAATGTTGAGAAGCCCAAATTGCCCAAACTAGTTTGGGCTTTGGGAAAACAGTTTGGACCAGAAACCTTATCCTGGGCTGGTATTTTGGAAGGGACACGAGTTTTTTTGGTTTAAAAACAAGCTTGTATGAGCTGTATCAGGATCCCATCAATTTCTTTGACTTCTGATTGTTTGTCCGGCAGTTGAAAAAGATTTCTCTGAGGCTGCACTTGTTACTTGTACTGTTAAATAGTCACGAGCAATGAGACTAAGAATAGGATATTCTTTTCTTTGTGCATAACACCAATCAAGAGGTTCAGTTTCATCTTCTAGTAGAATGCTCAAATAACATGCTAATTCATTTTGAACATTAATAGAGAAAATGTTGATAGTTGTAGTCTCAAATTCAATGGGTATGGTTTGGTTGTTAACAAGTAAATAATTGCGACCATGAGGATGACAAAAATAAGCATTTGTATTTAAAGTTGGTTTATTTTCTGTAGTGATGTTAGCCGTTTAAAAATCCTTAGCCGGCTAAGCCGTTTACTACCTAAATTGGTAATTTTATTTCTATAACAAGAAAGTAACACGGAAATCCATTACCAAACATCACTAATTTTCTGATATTTGATGATAATTGGTTAATAGTAATATAACGAAAATGCAAATAATTCAAACTTTATTATTGTTGTTTTTATATAAGGTGACGATAATAAATTCGATAATAATAACTTTCTAAATTTTAGCACATCATACAAAATATTCAAGTATTTGAATATTGAATTTTTAAATGAATACTATCATTATTTACGCATTTACACTATTTCCTTTTTCAAGGACCAGGGGCTGAGAAGATTGGTCCTTGAGCTGGTCTTTCTAGGACATATCCAACGTACTCTGCGACTGGATAAATAAACTAGGATTATGCGATTTCATAGAATTATCAATGTAATGACAAAGTACATGGCGCTGCTGAGCAGATCAACCCATCATGTGTTTCATTCAAGTGCGGCTACACTATAATAATAAAGCCTCGGGTTTCTCATTCTCATTCCACTTTACCAGCTTTCTCAAGAACCTACACACACACGCAAACCATCAACACAAGTCAATGTATAGGGTCTGATTCATTTCGTCGACAATCATTTCGTCGACAATCACTTCATCGACAATTATTTCATTGACAATCATTTCGTCGACAATCATTTCGTCGAAAGTTCATTTCGTCGACAGTTTATTTCGTCAACAGTTCATTTCTACAACAATTCATGTTAATTTGCATGTATTACAGTATCAGCAATTATGTTTGGAAAAGCGTGAATTCATTGATGGTAACAATTGTTTATTATGTTTATGTGGGAATAGGTTTACTAACATATTAATTTAATTAGTGGATAACTTTGGTTTTAAATGTTTATTTATTTTATCTAGTCGAAACTAATTAAAGATTTAGAGATATGTTTTAACACAAAATTTTAATCCATGATATTATTATTAAAGTATACTTTTGTAATTAAAGCACAAAATTTGTCTGATAGCTTTATTGTAAGGTTTCTGGTCTAATATACCTACCTCTATATAAAAAACGTTGAAAAACCTAAATCGACAAAAATAGTTTGAGCTTTGAGAAACAGTTTGGGCTAGAAACCTTACTTGATTGTCAGACCCATTTAATCATACGATTT